GTGTGTGTGTGTGTGTGTGTCTGTGTCTGTGTCTGTGTCTGTGTCTGTGTGTCTGTGTGTGTGTGTGTGTGTGTGTGCGATGACAAATTTTGCTTCAGTTTTTCCCCAACTGTCCAAGATGGCCGCGGACGAAAGACTGGACTTTTTGAGTCCAAATTTTGATCCCGTCGCAGCCTTGGCCGCTGATCAGGTTGTGCTGCCCTATCCGGCCGTGCGGCCGTTAGACAATCTGGCCCGGTATGAGACCATGCTCAAACAAAGCCAAGGTCAACTCAATGTTCGACGCCGAGCTGCAGTGACCAGCCTTGCCAGCGAGTCGAGGCCAGTACAAGAGATCACTAGCTCCGCAACTCCAAGCGACACCGTGACGGAGGATTCAGCAGGTGAGACGCCTGTTCTTCTCCACCTCTGACTGCCGACACTCACGAGTGAGATGTTACAAACGCAATGGCACAATGCTCACGCTGAGCTCCGCTGAAGTCTCAGGCAGCAACGCCCCAGGGCGGGGCCGCCACCGTCGTCGCGTCACGTTCCTCGACTACAACACAGATCCCCCCGGTACAACCCCAAGATACTTGGCACTCGACCCCAAACTTGCTCCTTGACTTGGCTTGGCTTCCCTTGCCTTTAGAGCGTGTCCGCCTGGGTCCTTTCGGCGTGCTCTGGCGGGCCATCCAAGAACGAAGAAAGGTGACAGTCCTCGCTGCCGCTCGAGTCAGTCTTGCCGTCCATGTCAGCCACGAATCTCCCTGCTCTGCCTTTGCGTGTCACGTGTCAGGAAAGAATACTCATGCTGATACTTCAAGCAGTGTTGTCATCGCCGCTATTTTGAGTACCTGCAAGGGCATCTCGTGGCCTATGATGCCCACGGCAGCCTGGTATTGCGTCGTGTTGAGCGAAGCAGCATGTGCCCGACGCTGCAACCACCATCCTCGACCTCCGCTGCGGCTCAAAAGCTAGTTGCGTCCGCAGCATCCACAAAACTGATCTTGCAACAAAGATCGACTGCCCCTCAAGAGCTGGAATCTAACTCATCCCAGATGACACAGACAAACTGGGCGGGTCTGTCACGCCGCCAACGGCGCAAGGCGACCAAGTGGAAAACCGCTGTCCATCAACGCCACCGCTTTACTGGCCAACTCTTTGTTCGCGGCGCCTCGGTTGTTTGGATTGCGCTGGCTGGGCGCTAACTCGGTATCAACCTTGCTCATATTTTAATTCACTGTTCTTTCTTGGCGCACGCTCGTCTTTCGAAAATGATGAGCACGTTTGTTGGAAACAATCAAACAGAACAACTGCATGTCTGCCCTTGCGTTACCCGACGAATGACAAGTGCGCTAGAGGTCGTCAATTTCCATGAGTTTTAGAGATGTTGTGAAGTGATGACGATTGTTCGCAGGAGTGCTTCAATTCGTGGTACATCATACGATTGTGCAAGCTCATGTTTGTCAAGCGAGCACTGTTCGAGCACCAAATAGAAAGTCTCACACACCCAAGAAAAAAAGTGAATACACAAAAGCTTCAGAAACTCAAGACAACCCTCTGCCACTTACGGTGACGGGAAGTCAGCACAAGAACAGTAGGTGCCCGTGCACGTAGCAATCAAATTTACATCACACTCGGCTGGCTGAGCGACGAGGTTAGCAAGGCCATCAAGGTCCTCCAACAGGGTAGCATCATTGATGATAAGCGAGGTGATTGAGGTCACTGTTTCGAAACCGTCCAAGTTGATCAAAGAGGCGGCGGTAGCAATCTCAAAGCTGTCAATCACCGTCAAAGAAGTACCAGCCACGCTGACCAGCAGGTCCATGTCCTCCAAAATCAGCGTTGGGAGGCTTGTCAAGCCACTCAGACCAGTAAAATTAGCAAGGCCTGCGTCCCGAAGATAAAGTTGGCCGCCAACGTTGGTCAAGCTCTCCAAGCCTTCCAATGTCTCCAAAAGACTCTGGTCGCGAATCTCCATGTTGTTGCCCACGTTTGCCAAATTTACAAGACCTTCAAGTGAACTAAGCGGCGTGTTGCCTCGAATAGTGATGTCATTGTTCACAGTGCTCAGACCTTCGAGACCAGACAGAGAGGTCAAGGCCGAGTTTCCACGAAGGGTAAGACTGTTGACGCTTGTCAGGGAGACCAAACCGCTCATGTTAGTGGCTGTGGTCGAAAGAATAGAGAGTGTATTAACGTGCTCCAAGTTGGCCAAGACCTCCCAGAGTTCGGGAGTGGGATCGCAGGTGCCTGAAATGGACACGCCGCCGTTCACCCGGGTGCGGCCCGTCAGGGTTGCAATAGTGTTGTTAATGTCGGCCGTCGTAGTACAGGTGACACTACCAGTGAACACCGGGTTGACGGTGGTCGTAGTAGTAGTGGTGGTCGTCGTGGTCGTCGTGGTCGTGGGTGGCGCGGGCGTGGTGAACGCCGATAGACCAATCGAAGCACAAGTGCACCCAGAGCAAGCAGGATTGTTGCTAATGCTACAAGTTCCCGTGATGTTAACACCACTCAGCGCGGAAATTGACGCGAGATTATCGTTGCCAGTGATGGTCAAGTTACCATCAATCACGAGGTTGGCGCCATCGAAGCCAGTCAGCGCCATGAGACCGTCCATGTTGCTGATCGTCAGTCCCTCCGTGTACATTAAGTTACCAAACGCAGCCAATGAGGTGACGCTCGGATTACCCTCGAGCGTGATAGGACCGATGGATTCAATCAAACTGTTGACGGTGAGGACCGAGTTTCCAGCTTGGCAACCTGTCAGGAGGAAAATACCATCAAGGATGCGTTGCTTGTTGTTCAAGAGTGAGCTGAAAACTGTTTGGCTGTTGATGTTCGCACAGTAAGCCGGGCCGGTAGCAGTGAGAAGAGTGGTGGTGGTGGTGGTCGTCGTCGTCGTCGTCGTCGTGGTTGTGGTTGTAGTCGTAGTGGAGGGCTCAGGCAGACCGATTGACGTGCAGGTGCATCCCGGGCAATTGGGCAGGTTTGAGATGAAGCACTCACCATTGACAGTGATACCGTTGAGTGCTGTGATGCTCGTCACACTGCCCATGTTCGAGATGATAAGATCGCCATTCACAACAAGGCTGGCAGCGGTGAAACCTGTCATGGAAATGTGAGCGTTCCCGGACAGCCGCAGGCTGCCACCGATGTATTCCAGGCTGCTGAAGACGGCCAAATTCTTGTAGCTGGCCTGGTTGACAATGGAGAGATCAAAGTCAATACGCTCAACGGAAGTGTAGTCCGCCAACGTGGTATCAAGGAGGCCACATGCTGATGAAACGTAGATGCCACCGACGATGTAGCGCTGACCAGACAGTGCCTCTCGCAACACGGGGCGTTCAAAGCTCGCGGCGCAGGTCAGGTTGCCGTAAAAGTTTGGATCCATTGTTGTGGTCGTGCTAGTGGTCGACGTGGTGGTGGTCGACGTGGTGGTGGTCGACGTGGTGGTGGTCGACGTGGTGGTGGTCGACGTGGTGGTGGTCGACGTGGTGGTGGTCGACGTGGTGGTGGTCGACGTGGTGGTGGTCGACGTGGTGGTGGTCGACGTGGTGACCTCACCACACACGTGCAGGGCAGTGCAAGAGGCGCACGAGGGATTGTTGGTGAACGTACAGCCACCATGTGCCGTAATGTTCTTGAAAGCCGAGGCGTCAGTGAGGGCGTAGTTGTTCTCCACAATGAGCTCGCCGCTAACCTCAATGGTTTGGCCGATGAGGGTATCGAGATTCTCCATGTTTCGGATGATCAAGTCTCCGCCCACATACTGAAGGCTGGAGAGGTCAATCTGGGTGAAGCTACCGGCGTCATTGATGATCACGCTGTCCCAGACAGTAGTAATGTTTGAGAAAACATAGCCAGCCGCGGGTTCAGTCAGACGGCACCCAGGGTTCAGGGTTACGCCACGCTTGACAACACCATTCCAAGCCTCATCCTCCAGAAGGCACGAGAGGGCCGAGTGATAGCATGGGTGGTCGCAAAAGACTGAAAAAAGTGAATCGGCGCCGGTCGTGGTCGTGGTGCTGGTGGTCGTTGTAGAGGTGGTCGTGGTGCTGGTGGTCGTGGTGCTGGTCGTGGTGGTTGTGATGCCAAAGCCCGCTGCGCAGAAGCTGATATCGTCAATCGCGGGAGACAAATACAACCCTGTGGCCACAATGCGCACGCGCAGGTCATCAAAATAGTCGCAGGTGCCCACCTCGCAAAAGTACGACACGGTAAAGACCTCAAAGTCGTTTTCAGGAACTTCGGTCCAATAGACAGTGCGAGATGCAAGGGGTACTTCTGCGGTGCCGTTCCAAGAGGCAATGACCAAGTCAACCGAGCTACTGTAGCCCAAGAACGACGACGAAGTACCCAACGCAGCCGAGAAGGTGTAGGTCTCGTTGGGTAGAGTCATCAGGCCAGTTTCTTGGTAAATACCCGTGCTCTCCTCTGAAACGTCATAGAAAACCATGTAGCGGCGACCATCAGCGGCGCGAGTAGGGCCAAGGTCGGAGGAGCGTCGAATTGTGCGCATGTTGGTTGCGACCACACCCTCCCATGCGCCGTCAGTGGGATACATGTTCTCGGGACCTTGGTCGTACATCTCAAAGCTGGCATCAGCAAGCTGGGCGCATCGAGGATCAGCGGTGGTGGTGGTTGGTGCCATCGTGCTCGGAGCTGACGTGGTAGAAACAGTCTCGCGGCAAACGGCCACCTCGGCAAAGGCGGGGCTGGCACCATAACCACCAAATCGGATCCCCACGATCATGTCACTTCCATCCAATTCAGCCGGTGCCTCAAACTCAACGTGGCGCCAGGCGTAGTAGTTGGCGGGCAAGCCCTCCGTAGAAAATGATCGGGCAGCAAGCACCTTTTGATTCTCATCACGGAACTCCAGGGAGAACACACTGGTATAAGTGACTCCGAGCGCCCGACCCACGCGAGCACTGAAGCGATAAGTCTGGCCTGACTCGTATGTGCCAGGCAGACTCTGATAGATACCCGAACTGGTGTTGGAGGATTCTTCCGTGTAAATAAACTGCTCAGTGTTGCTGGTGGGCGCAACACCGCTCACGGTATCATCACCACGCAGAACCTGAACAGCGCTATCCACGCTCCAAGCACCGGAATAGGCAACGCTGCCTGTTCCACTTGTCGACGAGAAATCATTGTCACTGACACTGATTGGGCTGCAGGGACTAATTCACATGTCGGACAAAAAGGAATAAAAGGTGAGCTGTTGCTGAACGCATGGCAGGAAGTCAAGACTTGCAAAGCGAATTCCCGAAACGTGCTTGCTCATTACACTTTCCAGAACAAAAAACACAATGGCGCAAACGTACAAAGTATCGGGGGTCGTTTCAGGAGCAAAGTCAATGTAAGCACCATTGTAGCAAAAGGTCACGTCATCAATGATGATGGACGGGCCTGTGCCGGTAAATGTGAAGCCAATGCGAACGGCGGAATCGGTGTAAGAAGCGTCCATTGGCACGGTGAAGTTGAGCACTGTGGTGGTGAAGATGCTGTTGGTAAGTGAAGCGGCGTCCACATCCAGGCCAGCAATTTCGGTGTTATCGTCGGCAAAGATCTGCATGCGCACGGTTCCAATGTGATCGAAATTGGGGATGGGAGCCATGCGGGCACTGAAGGAAACAGTCTCAGCAGCACGGAAGTTGAAAGGCAAGAGCTGACTCAAGTTGCTCATGCCACCCATCTCAAAGGAGAAGATGAAGCCGCTGCCGAGCGAGGCCGCAGACGGGGCCATGTACGTGTCAGCTGCCTCTGCAAAACGGACGGCGTTCTGGTCACTCATTTCCCAACCATCCGACACCAGCCAGAGGGGTTGTTCATTGCCAAAGTCGTTGTAGATGTTAAAGTCGCCATCGGCCACGGCCACGCAACCAGGCTCAGGCACAACGGTGCTCAGACCAGACGTGGTGGGGGCAGCAGAGCTGGTGGTGGTCACATCCACCGAGCACACAGTGACATTGTCCACCATGATGGAGACATCTGCCCCAGAAAAGCGAAAGGCAATTCGGATGGCCGACGAATCGTAGGCAAAGCCCGCAGGCTTGGTCCACGACAACACAGCCGCCTCCCAGGAGCTTGACAGCTGGAAATCGTTGCGAGTCAGCGCAGCAACAGTCACGCCAGTTTCCGTTTGCAGTTCCATAGACAGGATCGTGTTCTTCTCTCCAGTGACCGAAGTAGCCACGTACGCGGTGAATTCCAGACCATCCACATCGCCGAAAGTCTCCGTCAAGTTCTGCGAGAATCCATTGACCGGCGAGGTTGCTGACTGAAGAGAGCCCGCAAACTTGGCGCCATCCGCGCCACTGGAAATGCCGCCAAGAGATGAGAAAACATAAAATACATCGCCCGAGTTGTCGTAGTACCATGGCCCAGTGTTGGGCATGGTGACAAGGGTACCGGACGGGATGGTCGTTGATTCGAAACTCGCATCATTGACAGTAAAACACCTAAATAATAGCGGTGATGCATCCAAGCCGTCGGGTCAAACGACAACCGTCGCCGAGGAGGTTCGGATCAAGCGAGGGTGCGCACATCAATCACGATGCGAGTTAAGGACCCCAAGAACGTACGTTTGGGCAACCGCCGGCTGCATGAGAAGGGCCATGCTCACGGCAAGCAGGCCAAGAGTGGACGCCATGGCTTGCGGTTCGGCCAGACTTGGTCTCGTCTCACGCCGACCAGTATCGGGATCAAAATTGGTAGCCGCGTCTCGGACGACCGGCGATAGATTGATCCGAAAAAAATACTGGCTCGAGCGAAACCACTGAAAAGAATGATCGTCGTCACTGGATATGCTACTGTTCACCTACTATGGGGTAAGACAGCGCGCGTGCAAACTGATATTGGTTTGAAAAGCGTTTGACCTGTTTTTCGGTCTAAAACCATTCACTTTTAGAATATTTCAACCCATTGTTTTCACTGCGTGTGAAAGACATCAGTCGCAGGATGTGCAAAAACAAAGGAAGGGGCAAACAATGTCAGAATAGAGGAACTGTGAATGGTGATGATCAAGGAGAAGTTGCCAGTTGTCAGAAGAAAGACTGAAAGCTTTCATGGATTCATTCAGACAAAAAGAGCATGTGCGCAAGTCAAGAGAGGGAAACAAAGCAGAGATGAACCAAAAAAAAAAAAAAAAGGTTTCATTCCAAAACAGCCGGCGCTAATCGAGGCAGCCAAGGATAGAGAAGCCGGCATATTGCCGACTGGCGCAGGATGGGTCTCAGCTTTAGAGCATGCATCCGGCCAACTCGAGCAAGCCCACACGCAAGTGTGCTTTGAGGTCACGGGAATACAAGAATGTCGGCCCAGCATGAAACTGCAAAGTTTAGGTAGGTCCACCACCAATTTAGCACTCGGCATCCTCCAGCTCCTCAAACATTTCGATACGGCGCACCGCATCGCCTGCACATCAAGGACAAATGATCAACGTTGTGAATTTGCAAGCCGTGTGTGTAGATTCGGAGAAATGAGCAAAAAGGCTTGCCGCCATTTTCCAGGGCCATGAACGAACTGCCAACATACCCGATTGTGCTTTCTTCATGGTTTTGAGCTTGTCCATGCCAGCAGCCTCATTCTCCTTGTGGATGCGATCTTCACGTGTCTCCTTTGTCGCATCCTTGACAGACTCCAAGTCCGCGCGGATAGCCTAGCATTTGCGACAGGTGGGGCCCACGATTGTCAGAATGGTGCGGAAAATATTTCAAAACCAGACTTTGGAGCCCATTCTCCAAAGGTTCGTCTCTTTGACCTTTGCCTGCGGCGTCTCGCTCTGTTGAGTTGGCCGCAGAGCGTCATCGACCACCCTCTCAGTCTCTTGTTTCTTCTCGTCCCTCTGAGCAGCTGAGGAAAGGGGACAGAATTTGACACTCACGAGCAGCTGGTCCTTGGTCTTGCGGATCTTGGCTTCGAGAGCGGCACGGTCCTCCATCATGCCTTCACCGCTGAGCTGCTTTCGCCGGCGCGCGACATAGAGCTGGTGGTTCCGCACACACAGCGCCAAAATACGCTTGTTCAGTTTGAAGCGCGGTGAGAAAAACTTGAAATCCTGCATCACCAGTTGAACAACGCATGAGAAACAGAATACAAGAGGCGACCAGGTGCATACGGGAGAAATGAGCCGATGGACGGACCGGAGCCTTGGCATCGACCATCTTGATGGTGAATTTTTTGTCGTTGAACGAGATGTTGCGAATCTCCGTCCAAGGGAAGCCAAGGCGTGGTGTCACCTATAATTAAAAGGCCCCATACCAAAGAACCGCACGGATAGGGGGGAAGGTTGTTCATGCAAGAGATGATGAGCTGCGGCGGGCAGCCTGACCAGTAAGGAAGAGGAAGAAGGAGAGGCAGCAATTGGGCACCTTGTTGTGGTATTCGTAAATATCCATGCCCAGGTTGTGAACGCCGAGCCACAACTTGGTACCTTTCTTGTTGTGAATCTGAGGTGCAAAGAGGTGTCAGTGAAGGCACGCATGCGACTGGAGCTGAAAGAGGAAAAATATCCAGGACCAAGAATGCACCTCAAAGTACGTCAAGCCATACTGCTCCAAATCTTGGGCAATGCCCAGATAATCCATGTATGCCTGTTGCCTGTATCATGCACGCATCATGAGCAGCGAAATACACACGAGTGCCTCCGTGAGGCCTGCAGCCATTCAGCCATTCAGCCATTCAGCCATTCAGCCATTCAGCCAGCAACAGACGCCTTCACGTACTGGGATACGCCCTGCAGGCCCTTCCACGCATTGCGGATACGATCCGCCCATTGCTCTGGCGTAAGCTGATGCTGGACCACAACGCGGGGTGGTAGCTCGGAGTTTGCTTCAATGGGCTATACAGGCCATAAGAAAGCCAAGAGAGTGACAACAAACGAAAATGAGCACGCGCCTCTTGCGAAGAGCAGGATCTTTGCCAGCACGCCTAGCACACAGCACTCCGAGCGTACCAAGCTTTCGTTGGTGGACTCGTCGCCGTGCAGGGCTTGCAACTGCGCAGAAAACAAATTGAACATGACAACACCATCAAAGGGAATGTTGAGCGTAAGCGATAAGAAACGGCACGCATTGCACTGAAGCAAATCACCGCAGAGCTGTGTTGGAGGTGTCGCACGCAGTACGTACCGATTGGGCAGCAAAGAGGACACAGAGCTCAGGCGGGGCGTAGCATTCATCAGCCCGAATTTCATCGCGCACTTGACGCCAAAGCAGACGTGCGGCTGTCAGGTTGGTGAGCTCATCCGAAACCATCTCTGCATCACCAAGCCAGCGATGATTGAGGCTGTGTCGACTTCAAAAAGCGGGATCACAAGAATGCTCGGCTGGACAAGAAAACGTACCAGGAAAGTATTGCGCCCGGAAGACAAAGACGTGCTTCTCCTCCTTGCCCACCTTCTTGAGGTCATGCGAAAGGACCTGGACCAGAACGAGGAGTCATTGGGTGAGAAACAAGAAGCTGAGGCGGGACAGGGTTGCACCGGCCAGCATGCGGCGAACAGCGAACGGTAGGTATGACTCCATGCTTGCGCGCAAACTTCAACAGCCGCGACTGATTGCAGCATACCTTTTTCTCTGGGTTAACAAAGGCCTCGTAATCTTTTGCGTCAACATACTGCAAGTTGAAGAAAGGCTGTTCGCCGAGGCCAAAGCTCTCATTGACCTGCCAAGGAAAGCATTTGGCGGTGGTGGAGAGGCACAAACTGCGAAATGAGGCACGCTAAATGCAACGATCATATCAGCCGCATCTTTTCATACCATATCAATGAACTCTTGGCCCGTGGTCTTATTTGTGATCTCAAAGTCTTTTTCGCCTTCGAGGCTTTGGACTGTCACCATCTGCGCACCGATGCATCAGCATCAGCCAATGGCAAAAGATCAGCAGCACATTGGGCGTTGGCATCAAAGAGTTGTAGCTCTTGACGAGCTACACCAGACAGATTATGTTGCCAGTGAACATACTGCAGTCTTGGGCATGATGCCGGTTGCGTGTATATCAAGTCTGGCAAAAGCAGCGTCGTTGCTTCCCTTCGCAACGCAACCAAGCTCGCACGAGACCCGAACCTACATAGCACAGCGGCACCAAAAGTCGTTGTTTGCAATGAGTTTGACAAGGCTTGAGGTCCGAAGACTAGAGCATGGGTTTGGCAAAGCGCAAGCATCATGCTATAAAAGCTCGCAGCCCAGCCTTGCTTGCGTGCGCCGTTTTCCTTTGCACTGCCACGATGAAGGCGCCAGCGCTCAGGAGCAGGCAAGAGCAAACTCACGTCGCTTGGTCAGGAATAAGTCGCGAATGCAAGTTTGCACGGGTTTTGACACAGAAACACGCCCAGGCCCTGCTAGGGTATCATCAACAACGAGCCAGACGATGGCCGTTGAGCAAGACAGGCCAAGGCACAGCCATGAGACCCACAGGCACGGTGAGGGAGCCAATCCTCTCTCACACCACTGAGCCGAACCCAGAAATTCCAATGGCTCGAGACCTTGATGAACCGGCTCAACTCAACGACCCAAACACGTCCCGACCACCACTCCACGCGGCCTCGCTCACATACGCATGCCCACTCTCCTTCCCCACCCTGTCATGCCCTACACACCCCACAACCCGCTGCCAAATCTGCACCACCCCTCGCCAACGCTGCCCTCTCTCTCTCTCTCTCTCTCTCTCTCTCTCTCTCTCTCTCTCTCTCTCTCTCTCTCTCTCTCTCTCGGCTCTCTCTCTCTCAAGCTCTTCTCTCTCTCTCTCACGCAAGCTCTCTCTCTCTTTTTAAGCTCTCTCGCCATCAACGTTATCATACCTTGAGAACAAAAGAACAGAACGCAAAATGCTTTTCTCTCTCTCTCTCGCGCACTCCGCCCCCTTGAATGCTGACGGTTGGTAGCAAATACTGTAGCGCTGTAGCGGACAAAGTGTGTATTTTGGAGAGGTGTTTGTATTATACTTTTGTGCTGATTTTTGTATAGATGTGTGTTGATTTTGAGCTTGGTTTGCGATACAGTTTTTCGCAAAAGGACCAGCGACCATGGCCAGCGGCGGTACGAGCTTCACCCGTACAGCTGGGGCGGCGCGGCAGCGGCGCTGCCCCAGCTCTTGTTTGGTCATGTCTTGCATTTGTATACACCTGGAAATGAAGCGACAATACATGCCGTCCTGACTGGTACACTTGGCGCGGGATTTTTCGAGCCAAAACACGAGATTTCTCGCATTGATTCGAAGCACATGGCTCGTCTCTCGCACCGCGCCCCACACTCACGTCCTGCCTTCCTGGGCTGCATCTGGGCATTGGGCCTCCTCGTTCGGCAGTGAAGCACACGACTGTGTTTGTGGGCAACCTGACCCGCGTTCTTTCGGACGATAACGTGCGCGAATTGCTCAAATACATTGGCAACGTCCTCCAATGGGATCGAAAGAAGAGTACGTATCAACTCCCGCCTCCCCCTTCCTCTGGGCAATTGCTCCGTGACAGATTGACCAGGATCACTGCCTACCTCCACCTCATGCTTTAGATTTGGAGGGCAAACTGGCCTCCTTTGGCTTTTGCACCTATTCCAACCCAGGTGGGCTCACCCGAGCCACTCTTGTTCGCACATGCACGCCTGCCGACTGGCCCACGCCCCACAGCTCGCCTTCCGGCACTGACCTAGCACGAACAAATGCTGATAGATGAGACCTTGCGAGCCATGCGACTGCTCAATGGAGTGCAATTTGGTGGTCGTGAGCTCAAAATCCAAGGTCTGTACTGCTGCTGGTCACGGCCGGGCGCCGACAGAGCTGTTGTCTCACGGCTGCACAACCCAAATCGGCCCTTCACAGTGGACGAGAGCACCAAAGCATTTCTCGCCGATTACACAGAGCAAAAGAAGCACATGAGCCGGGTAAGCCTCTTGCGTTGACCGAATGGATGAATCAGCCATAACCGCATTGCAGGCGCGGTGCCCGCACTTCTGACACGGAACGCACACCTCTGCAGACGGAAGTAGACGAGAACGGTCTGGATGCTCAGGCGCGCAACGACGACGAGAGCCGTAGCCAACGCTTGGCATCCTTTATCAGCCACCTGCACGGCATCCACCAAGCTGCCATCGAGTCTGAAAAGTTTGCAGCGGAAGCGGAGACTGATGCTGCCCAGAAAGAAAGTCACGCTGCCTCCGTGATGAACACGTTGCGCCGTCGCAATGGCAATCGTGACTTCTCCCGCCGTGATGGTGAGTTGCTGACAGCTCGAGCCCGTGTTGACCTCAATTTGTGCAACAATATCCCGCTGTCCTTGCCGTGGCAACCACGCCGTGCTCATCATGCGGCACTTGCTCGCCTTCTGCAGAGGGCCTGGATGATCAGAACGATGACATTCAAAGCGAGGTCGCTCGCTTCCGGTACGCGCCCCGCAAACTCGCTCCATCCATCCTATTCCCGTCAGATCCCATGCAGGTCAAGTCATGACTTTGATGAACTGGCTCTAGGTCGGCCATCCAAGAGGATCAGCGCAAAGCACGGGAGGTTGAGGAACGCGTGTATGCCGTGCGCGGCGTCAGCAGTACGTGTTGAGACTGCCAAGTGCCCTCCTCCTCCATGCCCTCGGCTACAGCACGTTGACCTCGTCATCTCACCGATCCGCCCCTCAAATTCTGCTCTTGTATTGCTGCGCTATGCTTCGCTCTGCAGCTCGAGACGAGGAGGAGGAAGACATTGATGACGAGCCTAAGAATCCGATGCAGCGTGCCATTCGCGCAGCTCGAGAAGGACGCGTAAGCTTTTCGTGCTTCTGGACCTTATACGCTTTGCTCCGCCATGCGCCCCAGCTGGTGTCAAGCTTTAGCCTGGCCACGCCTTGACCATCGTCCCCTAACCCATTTGCTTGACATGTTTAGCAACGGCGCTTGGACAGCGAGATTCGGCGACGCCGTGACTTGTTTCGCCAGCGTGAGCGCAAGGTGCTGATGCGTGAAAAGGATGTGCACCGCCGAGTGGCCGATGATTTCGATAGCCTTGAGGGCCGCGCAGCACGGCGCCAAAAGGAAGCGGAAAAGCAAAAAGACTTTGAGCGCACATACTATGATGAGAAGGAAGATGATCACTTTTACAGCAACCGCAAGTTTGATCGCCTCTTGCGCGACTACGCCCGCGAACGCCTCGATGATGACCGGGATCGTGCGCGCGAAAAGGAGGAAATGGCGCGTCGTGAAGCTAGCGAGTCAGCCACGGGTACCGAACTGAGCGATGCGGACCGCCAGAGTGCCACCGCGGCTGCTGCCGACACCGCTGCCCACCTAGCCAAAAACGGCACCTCAAGTACCGCAGCACCAAAGGGTGGCTTTTCAATGAGCTTGGAGCTGACTTCTAAGCGGGCAGCGGCAGTCGGTGACTTTGCTTCTCAGGTCTTTGACCCCACAGAGGAAGATGACGATGCCGAGCTGGCACGCAAGCGAAGCAAGATTGTGCCACTCAAGTACACGGATGAGCAGCTGCGGGCTGCAGGTTTGGACATCAAGGAAGAACGAGCCCGTCGACAAAAGCAGATTCTTGAAATCATTCCCAAGAGCAAGGAATCCCTCTTGGATTTTGCCGTAAGCTGGGACTACCTCAACGATGCCATTTTGGACCAGGTACGCCTGCCTTATGTCTCGACCTCTCACGTCCAGAACCAACAACAAAAAAAAAAAAAAAAAAAAAACACACGCTGCTAGCTGCATTGTGAACGAGCGAATGACTGAAAATTGCAAACAACCGTGGGTGGGATCATAGCGTATTAAGCCCTGGATCGCGCGACGCATTACGGAGTATCTGGGCGAAGAGGAGGAGTCGTTGGTGGACTTTGTCTGTGACAAAGTTCGCAACAAGGAGGCAGCAACGTACGTTCCCCTTTTGTTCGTTTGCTAGGGTGTTCTGCATGGCTACAAGACCTCACCACCACCACCACCTCTGCCTCCACTCTACAAATATGCCGCCACGCTTAGGAGCATCTTGCAAGAAATTAAGGAAATTTTGGATGAGGATGCGGAAATGTTCATTGTCAAGCTGTGGCGATTGCTCATCTTTGAGACAGAGGCGCGCAAGTTTGGTGTCAGCGAGCTCTGATGATGGACCTTGAGTGCGATCACACCCAGCTGATCATGCTGGACCAATTTGGGCTCTGCCCTTCATAATTGACCATCAATTAGAGTATAGTGCCCTCCGCTGATGCACGCCGGACTTTTCATCGTCTGCTTTGATCTTTTCCTTTGGTGCTGTGGCTTAATGTTGTGATGTTTTGGTGCTGTCCGCGTTCTCAAGGCACGGCAGCGGGCAGGGGTTCAATCTGTACAGTTGTCGAGTATTCCAACCAATCTCCAGAGGGCTGCCTGTGCCATGCAGCAATGAGGAAGGAAAGCAGGCGCACGTTGAGATTGCCCGTGCACGGTATGAAATGTATGATTCCAAGAGAACAAGCGGTTTCTGGGTCTGGTGTCTGTGAACGCACCAGGCGCGCTCATAAAACGTGAGCTGATTATCAGCATCCACCATGACAATGGTCTGTGCGCGGGTCCCGTAAGCACCCATGGAACCGAGTGGCCCGTGGGGAATAAAGACCGAGCTCAGGGGCAGCTCGATGCTCTCAGGTAAGCCCGTGCCCGGCAGGTTGGAGGGATGTGCTCTGCAGACAAATCGTGGTGCCGATCAGATTTGTGCAAGAGGGGTCGTTACTCAAAACAGAGGGATGTCAAGCAATGGTGGACTAGTGGACCAAGCTAACTACCGTGTCGTATCAGAGAGCAGAGGCAACAGCAAGCGGATGCTGTCGTCTACTGATTTGGTGTCCCAGAGCTCAGCGCGCACGTCGTGGTAGGCTTCGCGCAAGCGCTGTTGTGGCGAAGTGCTTACATGAGACGGCATGCTAGCATCAAAGCGCTACTCGTGGATCATGTATGTGTGGCACTGTATGTAAGTCTCATTCCGTTCCGACCCGCGACCGCTGACGTACCTCCGCCTTGGCCCAAGGCGAATTGAGTAAGCCGTTTGTGAGGACGTGGACACCAGAGTCAACCTCCGTGAGGACGGGGTTGGGTGCAAAGCTTTGAGGTAGGTCTGTCCTCTCACAATCATAATGCGCGATTTTGAGGCATCAGCGTGAGTGAACGCGGTAAGGGTGTCAAGATTGAGAATAGACAAGACCAGCTCTGGCTGGGACCGGGGGAAAGAGGCGGGGCAGGGGGACGCGCACCAAGCCTTACCACCTCTGTTTGTCGCACAGTGGGCGGCTGGCTGTAGCATGTCAAAGGCCAAGAGATTAAAGCCTGCAGGGGGACATTGCATGTGAGGCGAAGGCCAGACGCTGTGGGATTCTAACTTGGTGCCTTGGCCAACGCAAGATGCGAACCACCGTAGTCTTCGCCTTGACGGTGGATGCCTGCCATAACAGCCGCAACTTCGGCATCAGTAGTTGTCAGCACGCGATTCACGAGCTCGCCTACCAAAACCCAGGTCATTGAGTGTGAGGTTGGGAAAGCTTGGTGGCCGCATTTATCAGATCGAGTGTTGAGAAAGGGTGGCTCAATGTGTGCGCGCTACCGAACCACGGCCTCGCGAGTCGGCTGGGGGAGCTGGCGCGGGCTCGCGAACATTGGTCAAGGCAGCGATGCGGCCATGACGCGATACACCCAGCCAGCTTCCATTCGGGGGCCGAGTAGGATCGGCGTCGCGACCTATTCAGCGCATATGACACCGACGTTCCAGTGTGCATCCTGTGAGGTGCGTTCTGAGCCGCGCCGGGCTGAGAGCGCGATGATCGGGGCCGTACATGGGCCTCCAAGCAAAGTTCTCATACCGGCAATGACGACACCATCCTCCCAGGGCGCAGCGGGGAGGGTAGCACGATGCAAAAACTCATCTCGATTGGCAGCAAGAACAAGCCGATACCCTGGAAGAGGGATATGAGAACATGAGGTGGCGAGAGGCAGGCTGTCCCGACATTCAGCGCGTGGCCGCGCTTTGGAGCTCTTGCCCTGATATATATTGAAAAAAAAAAAAAAAACGTACCCGACTTGGCCTCGGGCCGGTACTCGAAGACAATAATGCACATGGTTCTCACAAACAGCCTATTATGGCTGACCCAGGCCGTCACGAGCCGTCACTAACCCACCCGTCAACCCCCGCCCTGCCTCTACTTCCACGTCGAGCGTGCGACCTCCAACTGCACCGGCACCTGCACCTGCGGACACTGAACTGCAAATGCAAAGTCAAAGTCACACACACAGAACGTTAAATGCTTGAAAGAAAGACAGAGCGAGCAAAGACACAGAAGAGAGAGTGAGAGAGAGAGAGAGGAAGATGGCGTGAGAGAGAGAGAGAGAGAGAGAGAGAGAGAGAGAGAGAGAGAGAGAGAGAGAGAGAGACCACACACACACACACACACACACACACACTTTGGCTTTTTTTTTTCTTTTGTTCTGCTCCATCAGAAATTGGGGGAAAATTGGATAAAAATTCAGGGTTTATTGATCCCCCGTCGTCGGCTGTGGCCGAGGCCTGGTGATAACGACTGTGAAAATGGCACAAGGAGGCAACCAGGCAAGTACGTGGTTGTGTGGAACAACAGCGTCAAGCTTGGGCAGCAGCGGAGCTCAAAATTGACAGTGGCCTGATGATAATGTGTTGTCAACTGACGCTCAGAGGGTCCTCCTCGCACAAATTTGGATGAGCAGAAGAGCGCTTAAGAAGCAAAGAGCTAAAGTCCAGTTTGAAATACACTGGTGGACTCGTGTGAGGATTGCTGAAGGCACAATGTCGCATATGCTTGCCACGACACAGGTCGTCACCAGGTGTGTAGGGCAAGGGATATGGGGGTATCCCACAATTATTTTCAAGAGAACGCGCGAGGCGGTCTGTGTCATCAATTGATACGAAGATCCAATACATATTGGCAAGAAACCCGTTTGTCCAGCAACATCAGTTGCCCCGACCAGTCCGAAAGCTAGACCACGTTGCAATACAAACAGGGCGCCCGAAACGAGAAAGAGGCAGTGCAACGCCCGGAACATTTCCAATCCTAATTGCACACAAAGGAACGAACACTCCAAGTCGGTTGTCCAAGTATGGGTCGGATTTGAATCATGCGACACGAAGAACGCCATGCAAGACAACGCCCTACAGGACAACGGCGTTCAACACAACAGCAACAACAACAATAATAACAACGGCAACATTGAGAAGGACAAAGGCAACTACAGGCCGAGGCCTGTTCGCGTGCGCAGCACGTCAGAAGCGTTCAGTCATGAGGAGACGCGAAAAACTTCCCCCTTTGTTCAGGCAGGCCAAAATTTACACCAACTCAAGAAGGATGCGCGTCCGCCGTCAAACCGAGATGGGAGGGGGCGTGACGGGGCAGACTGAATCCGGCTGATTAGAGTAACTCTCAAGAGAAGATGTCCTAGTCTTTGATGGTAACGAGAACCATCTGTTCGGTTCCCAGGACGGCGAAGCAGCCCGCATCGAGGGCTTGGGCACCGAGCACTGTGCCCACGTCGCATTCACAATGAGCCATGGTACTATCGGCACCGTAGACAAAGCAGCTACCACGCACGTCAACGATGACGCCGTGGCGGGTGGGACCAGCACCAGGGACGGCCAGCAAGAATTTACGGTCCTGCTTGGAGGCCGTGACATAGCCAAAAGCAGCCAAGGTGGACTCGTGAATACACGTGTCAGTGCCGGGGTCCACAGCCACGAGAATACCATGAACGTCGTTCTGAACAAGGCAGAGGACGTCGGTCGTGGGCAGAAAGCCGGACATCCAGCCGCAGCCGCCCAGATGGACCATACTCCCGGCAAAGCCCGACTCGAGGTTGCAAATGACGAGCTGCCGAACCTCCTGGCCTTGCTCAGATGCGTACTCGTGGTCGGCATCAGCGATTCGCACCACCTCCGTCAAAGCATCGTCGTGGCCCAGCATGGGATCATTGATTACCACGTCCAAAAGGGTTGAGCCCGAAGGTCGAAGGACAACGCGCTGGGGCCATGTAGCGAGCTCTTGCTGCCAAAGCTGTTTGGTGGTACCGTCGCTGACGTTCAGATCCAGGGCTTGAACAATGGTGCCGTGGTGCTTGGGATCATCGTCGTGAGGGGTTGCAATCACCAAAACGTGGCGGTCGTTGATCTGACGGAGGGCCCGAGCGCAAGCCCATGCAGCGCTGTAAGGCAATGCCTTGATACCGATGGCTTGGTGCTGTACGGTAAAGGCGTCATTCTGCCAGTTGTACTTGATGAGCCAGTAGAGGCGGCCGTGGGTGACAACGATCATGGCGTCGGTCGGCGTCTCGTCGTGTACAATGCTGACAGGATGAGAGTCAGACCAGTCTTCATCCTTGAGCGACGTCACGATGCGCGGTCCATCAAGTTCGTCACCGACATCGCCCCGGCGCTGTGCATGATGTCGGGAGCCAAGCGGTTTGAGGTGAGCTGAAACAGAAAACAAGAAAAAGACAAATCGTAGCCGAGGGCCAAACAGCGAGGCTGGTTGGGTATGCAGGCGTACCTTGAAGGCGACAAGTTGGCGCTTGGTGTCGACGTAGAGGAGGCAAGAGGTGTTGCCATGGGTGTCGGCAGGGCCTCGCAGAACGTGAAGGCTGCTCTGCAGGGCCAGCGCATCGACAGTGCGCCGACTCGTGTCCGGGGGCGTGGGTTGGAATGGCGCATTGTCCAGGGTTCGGCTTGTCACGCCGACCAAGTCGGGTTTGAGCTTGTACCCCGCAAAGTGGTCATCAATCAGGGCGCTGTCAATCTGCAGTTGATGGGCCATGATGCTGGGGTGGGGCCTGTGCGATATGGTGGTCAGGGCGTGGTCGAGAGGAAAGAAAAACGGGGCAGAGAATGGGAGACAGCCGGCAGTGGGGACCGGCGGGAGACGAATAGCAGGCTTTCGGCAAGAAAACCAGGTCGGAGCGGAGTTTGGCAAACCCGGCCGTCACTTGAGTAACATGCGGCCATCAACAAACAAACCAACAAAAGATGCACAACCGAAGCTGAGCAAAGCTGTGCGAGGGGTGGGGGCAGCAAGTGGCTCAGCAAAATGGACGAGCAGAGGCGTAGGGGGGGTTCTCGCGGAGAGAGGGCAGGCCTTGAATCGAGGACAAAAGGCCAAGGGCAACAGGCACCCAAAGTAGAAAAATATAAAGACTACGCGTTGGCAGTCTTTGTACTTGTGTGCAGCAGGGTGGCGATGGTCGATGGTGGTTGATGATGCCTGTCTGGGCTGGGCGGCGGACAATGGCCACGAAGGCAGCGGAAAGGCAAATCAAACAACGAGGGAGGGCTGCTCAAGAATCACTGCGATCAACTGAAACGGCAGTGGCAGCATACGTCAGGCAAAGCTGCACAAACAACGTCAGAGGGAGGGGATACAGCAGAGTGGTGGCCCACACAGCCAGCGGTCTTTTTGACAGAGATGGCGACAGGGGAAAGGCCCGGGTGCGGGGGGGGGGGGGGGGGGGGGTCAAACAATAAAAAGGAACGTAAATGCAAGCGAAG